GATTTAAAGGAAAAAGAAAAAAAGAAAACAGCCCAGCACAGTCCAGATCAAGTCCCTGAGTCCAATATTAGCCCATATGTCAGATACCAATCTATAAAGTCCTCTTCAGACTCACGAAACACATGCAATAACACTGAATGCTGGAAGATCACAGGCCAATGGGTGGGAAGTGTTGTGGATCCAGTGGTGGTTGAGGCATCTCAGTGCTGGCTGGGGTCTCCACGTGGCTCCTCCAGCTCAGTGCACTAGCATAGCACCATGTGTCTTGTCAGCTGCAATGTCGCAGGGAGTGAGCCTGTGTCCTGCCGCCAGCAAGCTATTTATCTCCTTAGTGCCTCCAAATGAGGTGATCAAGCTGTGACCTGATAGGCTAAACTCCACCCCTTCACTCATAATCCTGTCAAATTGACAACAGATTATATAACTACTATAACCAGCTATACATAAGGAACACTCAGCAAAGAACCACTGTTGTCATTCCACAAATACAAGGGGCCTTGAAAAATCTGTGGAAAAATTGAATGAAAAGATAATGGAGTTTTTCCACCAACATTATTTTAATAATGTTTTATTGTGAATTAGATGGAAGTTTACATATCAGATTCTCATTTTTATATTCAACAACTTATCAAACCACCCAATGGCTTTCCCTGTCCCCCCACCTCTTTGTTTCCCCCATCTCCCTCTTGTAGGATATTATCTTACTTACCCTTCACCCAAGTTAAGATTTATCTACCCTTAAGCCAGGGCTTCTTAAACTTTTTCCACTCATGACTCCGTTTCACCCAAGAAATTTGCAACACAGGTCAGTGCTGCCAGAAACACCTTCCATTCATCATGTGTTTGATGTTGAATTAACTTTTTGGTCGTTGAATGTTATAATGTTATATTCTAGTTAGAAAGACAGATAATAAGTAAGCAAATGTGTACATTAATAAACAGTCCTAGTAAGTCCCATCATACAAGTCAAGCAGGTTATGGGTTACAAAGTGACCAGGGGAACGGCAGGTGTTGTTTCAGGTAGGGTCACCTGCGGCAGGCTTCTCTGCGGAAGTAGCATCACTGCCCCCAGTACTCTAGTAGGTTTGCTCCATGACTTGGATGGCTTGCTGTGTGCCCCGTGTATCTTGGGAAGCCTCAGCCATTGACTTCGGAAGGTGGAGCTTTTTAATTTGTGACTCACTCGTCTCTGTTTAATAGTGTACTGAATGAAGGGTTCAAATGTGAAAACACGACTTGTCTTTGGTCTGAATGGCCATCCTTTGCTCAGAAAAGCTTTGCTTTCAGAAGGTATTGGGCTAGGAATGTAACCGTCATGCTTTATTTATTCACATACCAAAATCCACTGTTAAACTCAAGACAACAAAGTGTTGATGGCAGCCTTTTAGTAAGGACCAGACCCTGTGCTAGGGGCTGGCCAGATATCTTCCCTTATAATCCTCACAACTGACTTTAAGAGGTCATAATTGTTTCTTAATTACATATGAGGATACTAAGGCTTAGGTGTGTCAAGTGGCTTTACCCCCAAACAAACTGCTCGCAGTAGCAGAGCCAGAACTAAAGCCTAGAGCTTTCTGTCTTCAAGGCTTCCACTTTTACTAGCACCCCTGTCTGCCTAAAGTCATCACTAATATTGTTCTCATTAATAATTTCACACTCAGAAGATACTGTATCCTGGAAGAGTAAGATTGCATGGCTTAAATATGATGGATATAATGTTATATAATTAAAGATACGATAGTGTTTGCTTTAATTATTTATTGTAGTTTATATCTGGCATAATAAAGTAAGGCCTTTTTAAGAATGCATCTTTATTGAGCAACTGCTTTTTATTCAAATACACAATTTTCCTAATATATGCCAGGCATTGTTCTAATACTGTAATCCTCAGACTGCCATAACTGTTTATTGAGAATGTTCTGTCAAAACATTTCGTCTTCACTATAACCCTTAAAGGCGGATACCTTTATCCTTATTTTGTGTTTGAGCAAATTGCGACTCAGAGCAGTGAGTAAAATATCCAAAAGTAAGCAGCAGGTGGAGGAAGCAGCTAGCAGTCAGTTTGACTACAGAGCCCTATATCCAGTCCTTCACTGAGAAGTGAAAAGAAACAGTCTCAGCTCTCGAGAAGCTAATCTGGAGCTATTATGAGTGTAGGCTGATGGATATAACCATTTACACACCTTTAAATTTGTTCTTAATCCCCAGTCACCCTAACCAATCGTGGTAATGGTAGCATGATGTAGGTGGCATCATTAGTGTTGTTATGCGTACTGAAATATCTGCTATGCAAGACAGACTGAGAAGTGCTTTCTTTAGTAAAGAGTCCATCAAAATGCTATGGGAACCAGAAGGTGAAGGGACGTGACGGGCAGTAGGTGCAAAATCCAAACTCACCGCCCTCAAGTCCATGCGTCCTCACAACAACTCTCTTGTAAGACAGGGTGGCACCAACTCGGGGTTCCTGAGACTGAAACTCTTTTAGAAAGCCTTGTGTTTTTCTCAAAGGACATTAGGAAAGCGATCATTTGACCTGGACCCGGAAACGGGAATGTCTTCTATATAGGTCTCTAATGTCATCACCAAGGCATAACTGAAAGAAATAAGCTGGTCACATAACCAATTGTCAGAACAGGGATTAGAATAACCTAGTTTGCCTTACCCTTCACCTAGAACCTGACCCTGGTCTAGGGCAGTGTCTGGTGAAAGACTCATTGGGATTTCCCTTTGATGTCTCTGTGAACAAAGTCAGATCCCTGATTTCTGTGGGATTTGGAGGAGCTGGGAGGAATATGTGTGGTTGAGAAGGGGAGAGAGAAGTCACAAAAGATTAAGGTGTGTGTTGAACCAGCCAGTCCTAGGAATCAAAGGATCCCGATTTTGCTGTTGATCTGCATTGATGATCTTGGGCTTCAGCTTCCAGATCTGTAAAATGGCTTATCTATCAGCTTTCCTCAAACGTTTTCAGGTGTCTGGATCGCAGCAATCAGACAAAGATTGCGGGGCCCTCCCCCCAGAGTTTCTGATTCCATAAATACAGGGTGGAACCTGGCCATTTGCATCAAGTTCCTGGGTGCTGCTGGTGCTGCTTATTCAGGGACCAACGTTGGAGGACTGTTGAGCTCGGATCATCTCCGAGACATGCTGCTTCTTTTTGAGTTCTGTTCTGAAAACTCCTGAGAGCGTAGAACTCAGTGACGGCCGTGCAGCTCTGTCTTCAGCAGTATGCCCCCTTGGTGCGTAACTCCTCCTCCCCTCCTGCTTCTTCAGTAGCAAAGTAGGGCTCACGGTCCCTGTGGTAATGAGAGAATCACATTTGTTGTGTGAAAGAAATCTCTTTTGAAAAGGATACCTTATCCCTTAATAGTTGCTTCTCCTGAAGAGAAGGTTCTGTTTTAACAGACTCCTAGAGAAAACTAGAGACTTCTTTTACAGTGAAAAGGCTAATGGAAAATGACTCCTGGTTTCCCTCTTCTCTAGAAAGAAAAGGAAGTTTTGTGCAAAAGGAAGTGTCCCCGTGGAGAATATATACTTAAAATCCAAATGACCCATGAGGGATCCCATCCTATTTGGCAGATAAAGAAAAGTTTCCCTTCCATCTACTTAACAAATTAATAAAAAGGAACATAAATAAAAAAGACTAATAACTCAGAGCTATCTGGGCACCTGAGTCTGAGGGCCCTTTAGGGCCTTGGCACCTAAAGAGAAGTGGGAGGAAGCCCTCTGTCTCCGAGACTTTGATGTGACGGCCTTCCTGGAGGCACTGGGGAAGCTCTGGGCCTCCGAGCTGAGGGCCTGTGATGCCTGGGGCATAAGTCTGTTTGAGCCAATAAAAAGCCAGGGGGGAAATGGCTGGTAAGTAATTTTGCTATTTCATTTAGTGCAAAAGAGAAGGCGAAACACCAGAATATTCAATGAGGCAAGGCACAGAATGTGCCATGAGTGTAAATGTAGAGGGACACCCCCCCACCCCCCTTTCAGGCACATTTCTAAGCCTGAATGAAGCACTGACTGCCGAGGCTAATGTACAATAGCATGCATTTTAAACCATGGTGACCCTTTTGTTTCTCTGTTAGGTGAAGATGAGGATGAATTTGAGAATTTCATGCTGCCTCTCACAGTCTCTTTTGAAACAGTATTACAGATATTCAACAACAACTTTAAGCAAGAACAGCTAAAGGTGGGTTTGTTTGTTGCCAAACACGAGGAAAGACCACTTTAAATGGTCTTTACTGAATCTTTATAGAGTCTTTAGATCTAGAAAAGTGTTTTATGTATTATCTGTGTGCTTCCTGTCTCTGAGTTGTGTTTTTCATATATGCACTATTCTAATTTCTCACTTTGAGTTGCATTTATTTGCCTTCTATGCACTTTTCTAGGTTAAGCAAATGGTTTCAGCCAGGCAGTTCATGACTACACTGCACCGATTTGTCTCTGGTGGCAGTAACTTTAATAGAACATTTCTTGTGGGCACACCACGCTAAACATCCCTACTCCCTCATCTGAGTCGACTCCACAGCCATGGGTTTGGTTTCTAAGGGGAATTCCCTCATCTACCTGACATGGACTGTTTCAGTGTATTTATAGGGAGAAATACACAAACATAGACGTGCTAAAACAACAGTACATCTCTAAATATATTTTTAAACAAGAATTTATATAAATCAAGACTTTATTAAATGGCTAGGCATATATGTATAAATAGGAGCTGGTCTTGAAGTATTGCATTCTTAAACTGAACAAAGTGATTAGGATAACTGATAGCTAAATAAGGTTTTTATGTGCCTGTGGGAGCCATATTAGGATTGATTTGACAAGTCAGTTCAGCTGTGGCAAGAGTCATAATATCTAAGACAACATTATGTTTTATTAGTAAAATCCTTAAGTGTAGCAAGCTGTTTGTGACAAAACAGTCCCATATTTTAAGATGGGGGGTGGGGAGCACAAGATTAGCTCAATAGAAATAACATCTCCTGAAGTTACAGCGTTTCGGGGGCAATGTTAAATAGATTGACACTGATTATTATTTTTAAAAGACTAATCATTGCACCCCAGAGAATGCAGGCACCTTTGTTGGTAATCCTTGAATCGCATTTTATTGTTATTTTGATATATGTTAGAAATATTAGCTATCATTCTGCGTGGCTCATCTTCTCTTCACACGCACACAAATTAATATTAAGAAGCCAAGTAAAAAATGGGTGGTTTCTGATGCTTAATTTAGGATAACTTTTACCCCCAAATAATTAGCTAATTACTTTGCTTTTTCATTTAAAATTGAGTTTATCACAGAATTATAAAAGCCAAAAAGGACCTTAAAGATCTTCTTTGTGTTTATGTTTCTGCCAAAATTCTCCACCAGTTTTCAGTGTGTGTGTGTGTGTGTGTGTGTGCGCACGCGCTGTAGATGTCTCTGATTATTTTCATGATGATTACAAAGTCTTTTCAGCTTTAAGGTGGCTGCCGCTGCTGCCCCTTATCAAAAAGATGGTTGAAAATCACCATCTTTATAAAAATTACATTTGTCTCATTTAAAGATTTCATTATACTCCAAGCCCGTTTTGATGTAATCCCATCTAGTTTGATAGAAACCATCTTCCTAGAGTCATTTTTAATGGACTTCCAGTGATATATCCCTAAACCAGCAAGTTCTTAACGACCCTGGAAAGTGACTGCTTGATTACACTTTAACGGTATTTGCAAATAAAATCACAAGTAATTAAGGGGAAATCTCCAGGCTTTTGAGCAAGTTTGATGCATGATAACTGCCTGATTCAGCTTCATCTAGAGTAATGCTGTGTAGGCAACAGCTACTGAGATCAATAGCAACGTAATGATAGTGGCAGAATTAAGTGAGTAACCCGAGAACTGTGCCTCAGAATGCATGCAGCTGCCACGAACCAAGGCCACACAGTGCACTCCGTGCTTCCGTCCTAAATGTTCATCAAAAGACGCCCTGCAGGAAAATGGAGTTAGATGCTCTTTATTGCTGATCGTGTCTCTTGCCACATTTATCAGGGAAATTGGATTAGCAGTTGGCAGCTGCAGGTAGACAAGATTCTGCAGTGATTAAATATGCAGCTTGGCTGCATTTGTTGTGACAGACCTTTAGTAAATTCTACTGTAAGCACCATCTGTCTAATTTGTATAAAGAAAACTTGGTGCTTTAAGCTACCGATAAAGAACTAAATCTGTTGCTTTATCATAAACAAAACTTTTGCACTAAATGCTTTTAAATGTAATTTATTAGGTTAAGGCTATTTTTCTATCACGACGAATAAATAATACATGCAAAAGTGCTTTTAGGTACTTCATTTTGCAAGTACTAGGGATAAAAACAGTTCTGTTTTGTTCTTCAATAAAGTATTTAGTATTCCAATCCACAGGAGGTGATGCTGTTAAAATATCTCTATGAAAATGCCGCAGGACTGCCAAATTCATTTAATTTGCAACCCTTACCAGGATTTTCTAACTCTCTACTTATAGATATTTTTGAGATGCAGATTCCAGGATGAATGTAAACATTAAGGACCCGTGTTGCCAAATTGAAATATAGTTGTGAGGTGAGAGAATGCTGCAAAACTCCTGAATTTATAGCTTTGTGTTTTTACTTCATCCTAATAAAATTGAAGAGAACATTGAATTTTTGTCTTGGGCTTTTCTCTTCAAAGTAAAGAGGAAAAGAAAGAAAATGCTGTGACAAATCTCGGCTCCAGAGCATTATTTCAAAAAAAATTTCCCCCCTAAATTGCATCTATCATAAAATGTAGTTCAATACTCTCCTGACTCATACATCATTTTTGATTTGACTATGATGTCATCGGTTTTAAAGGAAAATGAATGAAAACTTCTCGGAGGAAGATGAGCAGTTAAATAGGAACCTGCTATCTTTAGACCCTTCGTAAAAACTCCACAATGCTAAATTATTTAAAATCCTTGATTTTCAGCATGCGCACATTAAAAGTTTTCGCACTAAGTGCCAAATGTTGCAAACAGCACTTTAACAGAATGATTTTGCTTTGATCCCTGTAGCAGTTCCTGAATAATTTATCACAGGTTATTGCCTTAATTCTGGAGAGGGATAGAGCAATAAAGGCAGATGAAAACACTCCAGTTGAAACACCTTGGGGCCTGCTCATTCCTCTGACACGGCTCTTTTGTTGGAACTATTTAGAGGTTATTAAGATGTGTCTCCAGAATTAAGAGTATGCTGTAAGGATGAAGACAGCCATCTTAATTCTAAAGACAAAGCACAATGACCCTTCACCTTCTTTTTCTTTGTTGTTATTATATAGTAGAATTATGAGGATAATATTATAGCTGCCCCCAGTAGTGCCACTACAGTAAAGGGTCTGTCAGACTTGCCATTAGAAACCCTGTTTGGGGGGTCAGGGTGGAAGGAGCCGCGCTTCAGCTGTTTCCCAGCCCATCAGTCTCACACTTGGCACACAGACAACTGTTCGCCATACAGCGGCCTCAAGCACTCAGCAGTTAGTTTCTCCCTGAAATACCCAGAAAGGAACCCTGAAGATTAAATGCCCTAGACTTGCCCCACTCCTCCAAACAGCGTCACTGAAAAGAAAGGTGCCTCTCGCTTTTTAAATCAATCCAGTGTCGATCAATCATAGGATCTGTACAAGTGTGGAGAAAGGCAACTTTTGAAATCAATCTCTCTGTACTCTTTTAAGGGAGCTCTGGTGGCACCATACTTAAAAGTGATCGACTGCTAGCCAAAAGGTCAGTGGTTCAAACCCACCTGCCACTCCGTAGGAGAAAGCTGTGGCAGTACTTGCATGATAATTTACGACCTTGGGAAATCTATAGGGCCATTCTCCTCTGTCCTACAGGGTCCCTGTATGTTGGACAGAATCTACTTGACTGCTGTGGGTTTGGGGTTGGTTCTCTTTTAAATGAGATGGTAAATCGTGGCTCCCTGTCCCCTTTCATTCGGACCACAAGCCCCCCTCAGAGTGTTTAAAACCCTGGTTGAACTCCTGGTTAACAGCTTTCCCATGTCCTACCAGAACGAGCTGTGTCTCAGCGTTGGAGAAAGTGTTCCTGTGCTCTGTATGCAAGCGTCCGTGGACAGAGGGAGGTATTCTCTGTTGCTTTGACTCAAAAGGGGATTGCTTGAGCACAAGAAATTGGTTTCCTACGTTAACACTTGGTTTCCCTGCTCAGCCGAACCTATTGAAAATATGCATTTAGTAATTGTTATGTGACACCTCTGCTCTCTAGTAGCATTTTCTCAAATCAAAATTTGGTATAACTTCCTAGCAACATTTGACTGAATTACAAACACCTTTAGAGTCCCTATCAGTTGGCTCACAGTTCCCCTTTTTGTATAATAAGCGATAGTCTAAAATACTATTATTAGGAGCCCTTCATACTAGGCACCAAGGAAATAAAACTGGTCACTCCTCCCTGTTGATTAATTTTCAGTTGAGTTGTGGGTGCCTTATGTGTTTGTGAGAGTTTAAACTGTTTGAAGGATAGCCTAAAGTGCACATTGAAATAAAATAGAACAAAAAGGCTACTTGAGTAGACTGCAGAGCCAAGCAGTCAGAATGGGCTTTGGGGAAGAAGGCTTGTTAGAAGCCGTATTTGGTGCCAAGCGCTGGAACAGGTGTCATGTGATGAAAATGGGTTGTTGTCAATGTCCAAATGGTTCTTTTTAAAAGTAGCCCGTCACTTGAAAACGGCAAGGTCATTGATACAAAAAGCAGAAATGCTGTTTTCATATTTACAAACTTCAGACAACCTTCATCCTAGGAACTGCTAGGCTCTGTACAAATGGAATGTTCTTTTGACATCCAGTCCTGTAGAGATACCCGATGTTCTGGCAGACAGAGAATTTTATATGCTTCTCTGAAATGTCAGTTAGCTGCTAAGATGAAGTCAAGCCTCACTTTATCCATAGTGATGCTCGTAAAGCCCTTCCTAAAGAGGTTTTCGTTTATTGACAAGATGCGAGGACAGGAAAAACCCAGTGAAGAGAAAAGCTCAAGTATCATTTCTGAATGTTTCCAGTGAACCAGTCTCTCCAAAAATCACAGCAGCATATCTCAATTATCACACCCCCTCTTTTGCAATTACATTTATTTGTACTTTTTCTTTTGACATCTTGGCATCTGTTCGTGGGTTTTCTTTTGCTTCCCAAGCTTCATCGTCAGGACAACTCAATTAAGAGTCCAGAAAACAAGTCGGATCTCCTTCCCCTCTAAACATAAATGCTTGGTGAAGATCTAGTACACGTCAGGCTCCGTGCTAGACATTTTTTCCCTATGCTTATTTAATTTATTCCTCAGGATAACTGGAAGGAGGGAGTTACGATCCCCTATTAGAGATGAAAAATTAAATTGCTCATATGCTCTGCCTTAAGTCTTACTAGAGATAAGAAGCAGTAGAGCTGAACTCAAATTCAGATCTTCTGACATGGAGTATAGAGCTCTCTTTCCTGCCGCGTTTCCTTCTGGGTATGTCCTAGCACCTGTAGGTAATTGAAGTAGTGTAAGAACCAGGCCAGTTGTCTGTTTGTTTCAGTAAACTTTTTAAATTTTAGAGTGGCTTTATTTTGCCCTACCTAAGTTGATAAGAATATTTATTAGGGATCGTTAAAAGCCAGTGTGTTTCCATGAGAGACTCCAAATCATGTACAAGCTGATGCGGTTAAAATTTGCTATTATTAAATAATGTCTAGACCATGTACGTTTCTGCTTTGTGGAATTATCAAGTCTGGGGTATTTTGGGGGGATGTTGTTTTTTTTCTTTTTTTAGTATTAATCAGAAACAAAGTATATTAAGAATTTAAATGTTCCTAACCTACTGGAATTATTACTTCACTCAATTTATAAGAAGCCAGGGTGGAGTTGGTCAGCAGATTTGATGGTCTGTTTGTTTAAAGAGCCTGTGAGTCTATGGTTTTCTATAGAAAGGGATCTGAGCAAGACATTTTAGCTAATGAATCAAAATCAGATATGTGGTCATTATTGCCTGATTATTACTCCATCTGCTCTGCGCTAACGTGAAAATCAATTACTGTGTCTCTTTCCCACTGACAGCGTATGCTGATCGGGCTGGCGAGAGATCTTCGAGGGATTGCCTTTGCGCTGAACACAAAGAGCAGCTACACCATGCTGTTTGACTGGATGTATCCTTATTACACTGTGACAATACCAGCTCTGTGCGCAGAGGGACGCCAGGCCCCTCGCTTTCGTTTAATAGTACGGCACAGTAGGGAAGAGGAAACAAAGCTAAATGAACTAATGTGTAATCAGCTAAAAATTACAGCACAGTGGCAGCAGGCAGGCAACTGAGCACAGCATTTGGAGACCCGGCTCAGAAAGGTCACTGTTTTGGAGCAATTCAATATTGACAACTTAAAAATCACATCCCCAAATGATTATTTGTTTCAGGGTTGCAGGGGTGCCCTGTCTGTCATCTTTAACTCAGAATCAATGAGTCCACCCATTGCACCTTTTCCAGGAGATTTGAATCTCTACTCATCTCAGTTAGCAGGGGTGAGCATAGCACTTTATCTCTTTGAGGCTTAACTCGTCATGCTGTAGTTTTTCATCATCATGAAAAGATTGATGGACAGGAAAATGTTTAGGATTTTTCATTCAGTGTACAATTTGAAATAACCTTTGCCAAGGCTTAATACAGACTGTATACATATATACATATACATATACATCCCACCCAGAAATGCTTCCTCGTGGAAGAGTGAGTGAAAAGAATGTGGCGTCTGGTGTCAGGCAGAGCAGGCTTAAAATCCCAGCTCTGTTTACTGTGTGAACCAGGTAAGCCCCTTCACCTCCCTGAGTTTGTTTCCTCATCTAAAAAAAAAAGATAATCCAGCATCGTAGTTTTTTGTGTGTTTAAATACTGCATTCTGTTCCTTTTTGCCACATATTCAATGGTTATTAATTAGTATTGTGTTAGGAGTTCATATTGTAAGAACCATCATTTGTCCAAGTCAGAGCACATAAGAAAAATCCTGTAACCTGATAGCTAATTCACTTTCAAATTAACACTATTTCTCCGTGATTCTGTTCAGACCTTTCTATCATAATTTCAATAGCAAAGAGACTCTTGCAAAGGTCAGTTTCAGCTACTGATACCACAGTAGTAGCTAGAAAGATACTGAAAAGGGGATCTGGGCATGTTAGGTAGCGTATTTTAGGGACTAATTGAGGTACTTTTTAAAAGAAATTAATTTGAGTAGTTTTTGTTATTATTAAAACCAACTTCCTGGGACTTATGTGCCCCTAGACAGGAGAGAGAGAAGAATTTTTCATATCGCTGAGGAAACATGTTACTGAACCAAGAAACAACGTATTTCACTAAGCGGCTCGGTTGCAAAAGTGTTCAAAAGCGATGACGTCACTATGAGGGCTAAGGTGCCCCTGCCCCAAGCCGTGGTATTGTCACTCTCTTCATGGGCATGTGAAAGCTGGATATTTACTAGGAAAGGCTGAAGAAGAATTGATGCCTTTGAATTAGGTGTTGACGAGCAATGTCAGATATGCGGTAGACAGCCAGGAGAATGACCAATCGGCTTTAGAAGTATATGGCCTTATACTTTTAAATACTCCTAATAGTGAGGTTTCAAGACTGTCTCGCATACTTCGACAGGTATTCATCTCCGGAGAAGAACATCATATTGGTAAAGTAGTCAACAGAAAAGAGTAAGTCCCTCAAGAAATCGATTGATACATCATTGCAAAAATGGCCCCAAACATAGCAAGCTGTGATTTTGAGGACAGTACAGAACTAGATAGTGTTGTGTCCTATTGTACTCGATAGTGCCTGTTGAGCCGGCACTCACATCTAACAACAAGACTGCACGTGTACCAAAGCAACTCCCCGCCATCGAGTTGGTACTGACTCAGCAACCCCCTCTGGGTTTCCCAGACTCTGACTGTTGACGGGAGTAGAAAGCCCAGTCTTTCTCCCTGGAGCTGCTGGTGGTTTTGAACTGATGGGCATGCGTTAACCTTCATTTAACCATGAAAGATAGAATAGTATATAGTCCTTTTATTCTCTAAGCTTGCATAGCACCTAGCTAGCTCCCAAAGTGGAAACTCTTGTTGTGTCTGAAACGCCATAAAACCTAATGTTGGCACGTCAGAATTGATGACCTTGAAGCCGACCCCAGCCCGGGATGCTCAGCCATCCCGTTCACGTTTGCCGCACGACAGTTTTAACCAAGCTTCGCGGTCAGAGCCTTTCCCCGAGTCTCAGAGAACTAGAAATGGCTGCCAAAAGTGGTGCTTCCTGAAAGAGAAATCCTGTCATTTAAATTGAGGTTGGTTTTTTTTTTGTATTTTAAGTTTTAAATGAAGCCTTTTCTGTTTTCCTCACTCAGCTCTTTCATTTCTTTGGCATCTATCGGAAATGAAACTTTTGTCCAGCAGATGGCAGGAAGCAGCAAATGGAAAACCTTAGGACTAAATATTTTACTTTGCACTAGAAACCAGTGTCTTCTCCATTTGACCGTACATGTTGATGTTATTGGGGTCAGGGGCGAAGGGCCAAGTGTCAGTTATACAGGAAGCTGAGTTAGATTGCTAAGCCAGGCAGCGTGGTGTCTGCCTTGCTTATAATAATTGAGTTTCAGCAGCAAATCAGCTTCCTTGGGAAAAGGCCAAAGGCTTTTCATAATTGTATTGACAACAAAATGAATATGATAAATGGTGTTCATTCAGTGGAGACAAGATTTATAGTTTTCCTTTGGGCAAAGGATGAGGAGCAAATATTTATAATAATAGTAAAATTTGTTTAAAAGTTACATTATTTGATCATTCAAAAAGCTTTATTAAAATATTTTGAAATACTTTAAGCAGTTTCAGGTGATAAAGTACAAATTCTTTCCAAACTATTCCAGTAATGCAAAAAAATGAATAAGTATATGATCTAAAAAAGAAAAACATGGATATGAAAGTCATTTGTTTTTCCTGAAATATTGATATGTCAAACCGTCAGTGTTGATTCCCACATTCCTGCTGGGGAAAGTTTATTTGCCTTTTATCCACATAAGTGTATGTTCTTTAATTTGTTACGCAGTCCTTAGCATGCAGAGGAAACATCCTATAAGAGCATATGTCATCTGAAAGTCAAAATGCATTTTATTTATGGAGATTATTTGATAAAATGCTATTTTGGTGGTTAGCTATTTCATTCACAAACAGTTCTATAAACACTGACTGCATTAACTGCTACACAAACTGCTACGTTACTTATGGTTCTGTCCTACCAAAACTAAATTGCCTGAAACCAGGCAGCCACTGTCTTGATAAATTGTTTCCACTCCCAGAGAATTGAAGGAGATCACTGATACGCTCTTTGCCCCTACAGTGAGGACATTACAAAAGCATGCATTTTACCTTATGGTGCGTTTAGGTCCTGGATTTAAACTTTTCCCTAACTATGCTTCGATTGCAGTATCAAAAATCCGGAGGGAAGTTGGGGGAGAGAGAGAAAAAAAAGGTTGTATGTGATATGACTTCCTCATACTCAGTCATTTAATTCGCAAATCTGATCTTTTATCCACTCAGTCAGTCGGCGCTCTTTACTAATGACCAACCCGTGAACATTTACCAAGACGAGGCAAAACAGTGGGAGTAGTAGGAGAGCACAAGCTCTAGACTAGGGTGGCCTTGGAGGTCAGATCTGGCTTCCCCACTCAGCCTGTGGAGCTAAGGGTAAGTCACGGAATGTTGCAGATTCTTCCACCACAGAACAGGGCTAATCATGCCTATCTCACGGACATAAGACGTGAATGAACTGACATGAGGGCGTACTGCATTATCTGCCAAGAAGGAAATACTGTTATTGCCGCTAGTTTCCCTAATTATGGAATGAAACACGGGAGTCCCATAAGCTCACTTACTCAGCAAATTGGTCTAAGGTCTGTGCCATATGTCAGAAGGATGTGATAAGAAGGTAGCAAATAAATCCTTAAAATGAGCTGATAGTTTGGTAGAATGAGTCAGATTACCTTCATAAAAAACCAATATGGAGCAGAGCAGTTTCATTATGCCGGGGAACCAGGGAAGACTCTGTAAAGGTGAAGAGTCTCCACATGGTTGAAGATTGAAACGTGTGGAGGTAAGAATGACAGAATTTCAGTTGCCCTAAATTGATAAAATGGGGTGCTCTTTAGAAGCTCACATTCTAATATATATACAAGTAACTAATAAAAAACTAAATATTGGTATGTTGTGACAAAGTTATGGAGGCCTGGTGGCATAGGGGTTACTCGTTGTCTGTGATTGGCAAGGCCCACGGTTTGAAACCACCGGCTGCTCCTCGGGAGACAGGTGGGGCCTTGTTTTCCCATAGAGAGTCTCAGCCCCAGAAATTCACAGGGACCGGGCTCCCTTGTCCTCTGGGGTCGCTACGGGTCGGCACTGACTCGATGGCAGTGAGTTTGTTTTTCGGAGTAACAAGGTCTATGTTAATAAGAAGAAGAAAATGACATGGGATGTACAAAATAGGAAACACAAGAAAACTGGGAGTTGTCAAAAAATGAAACAAGAAGCATAAAGATCGGCCTTTGGTCTACTGTGCCAGGAATGCCCATTGAAGAGAAACGAACATTTGAAGATCTATTCTAAAGTACAATGCGGGATAATATCCACATGCCAACAAGGAAGATCATCAACTCTCAGTAAAATTTAGGCACGTGTCGCTCGTGCCGAAAATGTAGAAGACTTTTAATAGCTTCTGCAGTCTGAAGTTGATGAAGCTTGCCATCAAGAGGCATTGATAACTACTGGTGAATATAATTGAATCATTAGAAACAAAAAGACGGAGCCATAGTTAGAAAATAAGGACTGGGTGGGAGAAATGAAGCTCCAGATATTACCTGATAGAATTTTACAAGAGCAACAACTTATTCATTGTAAATACCATTTTCAACAATATAAATGGTCCGATGTACACATGGCCCCCTCCAGAATGAATACATATGAATCATATTGACCACATATGGAGGGAGACTGGAGAAGCTCAATCTCATTGGCTAAGACTATGCCAGTGGCTGACTGCAAAACAAACCATTAATTGCTCATATGCAAATTCAAGTTGAAGCTGAAGAAAAAACAAGCTTATGAGAATTAAAGATTAAAGCAGGTGTCATCTTGA